AACCTGTGAGTTTCCTTGTCTTTTCTTTTGATTCCTCTCCCCCACTGGAGGCAGGGAGGTGAGCGAGTGGCTGTGTGGTCATCTGTTGCTGTCTGGGATTAAACCAGGACAGTGATACTTCTCTAGACTAAAGGGAGAGAGCACGTGGTCAGCACTGAAAAAGCCAATGAGCTTCAGGACAGAAACCTGCAGATGTAAAATATTCTCACAGGCTTGTCATTTTCAGTTATATATGTATCTATATACACCCACATACATGTATGTATACATAGATATCTTTTTGCCCACTTTAGCTACTTCATGAAGCACATGAACCTTTCCACAAGGTCAACATGAATCTCTCAAGCCAGCCATCGGAAAGCCAACCATCAGAGAGATCAGAGCCTGGTAGCTGTTTGCCATCCATCCTGCCCCAAATGATAGGCAGAACAAGGATGGGCTTGCAGTGCAGGAGCAGGAAAACCAGCCTGCTGGAGTGTTAGTCCAGGAAAAGAGAAAAACCACTGTGCCACAAGCACTCTAACACACTTGGAGAAAACAACTGCCTCCAAGTGGCATTTACTGAAAGCCATCGGAACCCAAATTCACCTCAGAAGGATAATGCTTTTAGGGTGACCCTCCTGCTCTCACACACTTTGATGGATATGAAATGGAATAAATAGAATGCCTAGGAAAGCTCTCCGAACCAATCTGCAAGGCAACACAAAGAGGGATATTACTGGGCTGTGAAGTCTCTCAAATTTCTGTACTACAGGTTTCAGAGACTAACTGTGGAAATGTATGAGGAAAACAAAGGAAGGAAAAGGAGAATTTTCAGGACTGAGGGATAACAGATTTCCTCTTTCAGCTTGACTCTTCAGAATTCATTTCATATTTCTATAAACAAAGTGTGAGCTAAATCGTAAGTTGTTGGAGTTATGTGAGCTGTGATGGTGAGCCTCTCTGTTGCTGCACTGGTTCTATTTAGGACAGTGTTATGGGGACCACATTCTTATGTCAGTGATGGTTGTATATCAAGAAAAAGAGACTGCCTTCATTTCTGATTATAACACCCATTTTACAGTTTCCTATATGTCCCCTTCCAAGCTACATCAACACATGACAGGACTTTCCAACCCAGACGCATTTACACAGTGCACATGAAAATAAATATAGGGTCTCGCAGGGTTTATTGAACACACTCCAGTTACTGCTTGGCCACAAAAGTGAATGTTACCAGCTAGTCCTTACTGTCAACTATCACTCTCTGCTGGAGTGCTGTAAGAGTGCAGCAGTGCATTTAAAAAATAATTATGCCACACACTAACTGTGGTACCCATGTGAGACCAATTACATGAAGCAACATCTGTGGCCCATGCAGTCAGATAAAGGGGCTTTGCCCGAGCTGCAGCTCTGCCACAGCAGGGGAAGTGTCTGGGGAAACAGTACTGTGGCAGGAGACCATTACTGCTGGGAGCTGGGTGCCACTTACCCCTCTCTGCTCCTGGGGAAGGTAACAGGTAACAGCAGAGAATGTTACAATCCTACAGCGTTTAAGACGTTTTCAGTGAATATTCAGTTCTGAGTGACCTAGACAACACCCAACGAGTTCCATTTTAAATGTCCTAGAAGGGTTGGTTTCCATGAGTATGAAGAGCCTGGCATGCTGGAGGTGTGGTTGAAAAACTGCAATAAATCAAATAAGCAGCTGGGCTCTGTGTGTCCAGGAAGTGATTATCACCATGATGGGATGAGCCCTGATGTTCTATGGCCAAGGCAGCACTCTTCTCTCCTTCTCTTCTCTCTCTCTTCTCCCTCTCTCCTCCTTCGCTTCTCCATCTCCTTTCCCTCTCTCTTCTCCTGTTCCTCTCCAAAACTGCTTCTCAAAATCTTCATTGGAAGTGAGGGTTCATAATTTTCCTTCACTTCTGCAGGTGTACTTCAGCACACTTGCTCAATTTTGCAGATGGCAGAGCTCCAAGCACACTTTTCCCTATATAGGTTAACCTATCCTTTTATCCCTTGTGTGACCTGCTGAGTAACAGCTATCACAAAGCATGCAGAGGAGACTTTATGACCCTTGAAGAAAATAGACTACCATGTGGCATTGGCTGTCCACAGTTGCATGAATAAAGAGTCAGGGATTCCCTCCATATCTGGCTGGAATGAAAATAATTGCACATATAGCTCCTCCTAGGAAGGAAGTAAAATCTTTTTGGAAGAACTGGGTATTTTAAAAAGGGAGATTTGGAGGCAAGTTGAATAACAGGGGATGCCCTCTGGTTTTAATTTTTTTTTTCTTCTGCAAGGAAGAGTCTTTTTTCAATGCTGTTTGCAAGTGTCTTTAAAACACGGCCAAAAGTAATAGCAATACAATCAATATTAGATATGAACAGAGACACTTCTTCTGTAGCTGCAATTACCTATTTTCAAAGAGGAGGCCATGAATAATGTATGCAAAAGGGTGACAGGGGGTTACTTACTTCTTTAAGCAGATTATTTTAGCATGGGTGAAAGACTACCAAGCTGAAGAAGAGTGTTCAATATCACACAGTCTATAAACATCTGTGGCTTAGTACATAATAAAAGCCATTAAGGGGCTGAGCCAAAAAACGTATCTAGCTCTGAGGAGGGAGAAGAGGCAAAGTACCGTGTAGTGATTGCTTAGATTCACATTTGCCAGTCAGCCTTCGTGCACAAGTCCATTCTGCAGACTAAGATCTCACCTTTCTCTTCATTAGGTTTTCCTGAACTGCTCCAAACGGTATCCTGGCCTTTTCAGAAACTTTTTTAATGGCAAGGCTGCCAGTCTACTAAGTAGACATTAAGATCTAAAATATGAATTGGCCACACATGCAAGTATCAAGTGAGAACAACAGGGTCATCCCAACATTGGCTCTTGGTGGCCCTCAGCATGCTGTGCCTGGAGCTAAGCAGGACAACTACTTGCTTACTTCTACCTTGGAGCAAGGAGGGGTGAAGGACACCAAAAGGTTTCACTCCATCCTCTTCACTGCATGGACTAGCCAAGCTCATGAAGGGCAAAGTAAAACTTCACCTTCATTATAACAGGGGAGGGGATTTTCCAAGTCAGGTGCTCAGACACCTGTCCCTCTGCTGAGCCCATTTGTCACCTTGCTCCTCTACTCCCCCTTTGCAGCACGGGTGTTTATGAAATTACTTTGCATCTTCTCTGCCACATCAAACTCATGCTGGCACATTTTCCTCGCTTCTGTCTATGATTTGCATGCCCTCATCTTGAGGACTTGCTGCAGAATGCAACTCTTCATTAGAAAAGCTAAAGTCTGAGCTGGTTTTGTGGCAAAGCTTATCCTCACCTTTGCTCACATTTAGCTCCAGGTCAGCAAATAGCTTCAATGCAGCTGACTTTGCATAAGCATATTACATAGGTCTAGTTACTATATTTTCCCCCTCCATTAATGTGCAAGCAAATAAAGGCAGACTTTTACCTCATGTTCTCCTTCCTGTGAACTGTCACATATATTTCATAGACTCTCCCTTGTGGAACGGCCCCCGCTGGGATCAGCAAGCTTACTCCTGCGGAACAGAGGAGACACAAAAGATAAAATGGAGAGAAAGGAAGCAAGTGGGCCAGTGTACAGGAGTGACAGGAGAGGCAGAAGATGAAGCCTGTGATGCCAGATTTTCATCCGGCCTCACCAGCAGACTCTGAATGACCTCAGCAACTTGGGAGAAAAAGCATTTACTGCAACCTTGGTGTCTGTGGCAGTCAGCTGGGCTGTTCTTATTCCTCTTGTGTGTTGGCACTCAAGGAGGGGAGCAGAGAAGAGGCTTTTCTTCCCTTGCCTTTATTTTATTTAAAGAGCAGACAGATGGTTACACTGCTGCTTACCTTGTAAAATGATGGAAAAATGAACAGCTCTGACTAAAACTTCCAACAGCTGTAATGGGACATCTCTCCCCAGGCAATTCTTTCTTAATCAGGCAAGAAAGGCAGTGCAGCACTGTCCCAGGAAGCAACAAGAACTAGTTGTTTCCTGAAAGATGACTTCTGCGACTGGCATCCTGTCTTTTGATGTGCTCAGATTCTAATTAGACTACCAGGGAGACAAAATTGGGCTTCTTGGTATTTTGAAAGTGCCTAGTCTTGTACAGTGGCTCAAAATTCAAGCATCCAACCCTGAAAAACATGTAGGCAAATATGCTCTGTGCCCTTTTCAGTGATGATTGGCTGTACTCCTGATTACAAAACACTGTTCTCACATTACTGAAATTTCAGAAATGTGACAAGTGACCCCCCAGAAAACAGAGGGTCCTGTCGTTACGTGACACACACGGCACGCGAACCAGCTATTTTACTCTGCTGGACACGTCTCAGCCAGCTGTCTTTGCAGATGTGGATTAGCTGGGAATCAGTGGAGAGGATTTTAATATAGTTATTACTACAGTTATTACTACATAGCTGAAAACAAACCTACAGGCATACATATGTATATATACACGTATATATACATGTGCACAAGAGAGGCTTTATAGAAACTTCGCACGGCACTGTCTCTCCGGTTTAAAAACCATGATTTGGTTACACTGGTGCCCTCCCATGTGTTGGTGTACAGGGGCTCAGTCCCATACCTGGCTTTGAAGGGGAGATATTAGCAAGGAAAACATTTTCCATGAATGTCTTCTGACATTTCTTTCTTTACAGGCCTGTTACAACCTCACCTGTGCATGTTCTCAGCTGTAAAAGGGCAGGCGCAGTGTAAACGAAGGGCTTTGGTCACAGCACTAGGTGGATATACATACACCTAGAAGCTGCACAGAGGCATACACAGGAGCAGTAGATAGATTGATATATTTTACAAAACTTATTTTAATCACTTTGAGGGGATTATGGCAATAAATAACCATTTTCTTCTTTACAAATTGATATTAATATATGTGAACTAAATGTGACTAATAGACTCTGCTGACAACATGCACCACCACGGCATAAGAAACTTGAGTTTTAGTATCTACCTCCAGCTGCTACTTAGAGAAATGTGAAATCCAGGATTGTTTAGCATGAATGTTCAATGTTGTTCAGAAGTCAGGACCAGATTTCTTGAAGTAGTTCAGCTTTCACTCAGGCTTTTAAATTTAGTAGCTATTTTTACCCCCTGTTCCATGTTAGCTCAGAGAGAAGGTCTACTGCTCCCTGATCACTTTTGGCTGCTTCCTGGGGAGGGTAGGGCTGCATCCTGGAAGGACCAAGCCATCTAGGTTCCAAGCCACCTAAGCTTTTTGCTTTTTCTGTAACATCAACAAACAATAAAAGATCCAGCAAAGGCGCAAGAGACAAGGGTAGGCACTGTCTCCTCAGTCAGGGCACTATGCTATACAATGACCAGGAGCTGACGACCACATGTACAGGAGGAAGGCAAAAAAAGCCATAAGACCTTGAGCTATCTCATCAGGGAGTTGTGGTCTCACATATACTGTGGTCATACATGGACTCAGAGCTCCAGAGAAGCAGGGCAGGGGGACTCCAGACCCACTGCATATCCTGCATATCTCCAACATCTACTGTTTTGTGCACTTGATTCAATCCCACTTCAGATGTTAATGTAGCTCTTCATTAGTGTGTCAAACCTGAGGGAACATCTAGGTGCTGAACTTCCTTTGAATGTCAATACTCCATTTAGGAACTAAACAGGCATATGGCCCTCCTCAGAAATCTGGTTGCAAGAGCGGAGCTCTCCTCAGGCTGCCCGGGAGCTCCCTGGATACTCTGAAAATGCTTCCCCGTGCCTGGGTGGCTTGAAGAGTGGACCAGGAGCCTGGCCTCATAATGTATGAGAAGGACTGAGCAGTACTTTGCAAGTACATCCAAAAGCAGTTGCTGCTCAGTCCTCCCCTTTCCTAGTTGTAAAACAAGGCAACAATATGTATAACAAGGAGACAAATATAAAATAGACACTCTTGGGCCTTATTTTCCTTGGGTATGCAACGTGTGCAGGAAAAAATCCTTCCAAAAATTAGTATTCTGCTGTCCTACTTCAATACCACACAGTCTGCAATGAATTGGAAGTGGAAAAACCGATTTGTTTTTTAATTAATTTGTCCTTTTTATGTGTGATGACAAGGTTGAGGCTTTCTGGTGTGGAGTCCCTTTTGTAGAGCTGCATGAAAGGAAAAAAGTCAAGGATGATAACTCTCACTTCAGACAGGGAAGCTCTGAAGCCTTGAATGTCTCAGAAAGTGGCCAAGAGGCCTGCAATATTCTGTTAAAAGGGTGGCCAGGACTTTGGGAAAAGAATACTTGAAGCACCTTGGTAGACCTGAAGGGGGAAAAAAAGATCTGTTCCTTCTGAGCAAAGAAAAGGCAGAGTCCCAGGAGTGACCCTGCTGTTTCCTACACAAAGGCAAGCTAACTCCACTTAAGAACACAAAACAACTGAGCCTTTAAGCCAACATGGCTAGCACTTACCTGAATTAGGAATTACTAGGTGACCTCCTAAAGAGTTGAAGGTCCCAAATGCAGTGCATGATGGGTCTGTTTGCCGAGCAAGGCTTTGGTTTTTCATGTTCAGGGTCTCATTCTCTAGCAGTGACTGTGTAATCTGTGGGGACAGCTTGGAGGAGAAGTCAGAGAGGTCATCCTGGGGAGTGACTGCGCCAGAGGTGTTATAAACCTTGATTTTCAGGTTGGGCAGCGGGTCGAGGATTGGAGAATTGGTCATTGGGATTTTATCAGAGACGTCATGCAAGGCATAAACAGGACCCCTGTACATGGCTGCAGCAGAAGTGAGGTCTGGTGGCACTGCCAGGAGGTCTGCATTGGAGACGAGAAGGAAGAAACATATTACCTCTCAGTTTTGATGACTTTCTTCTGGCTAGTGATTTAAGTTTGCATTTTGCATTTCATACCAAAGGTTTAGCTACGCAAAGTCCGTGCAGACTGACCTTGCTCTCTTTTTCCATGCGTCTCTCCAGCAAACTCCCAGGGTTTATACTGACCCAGCTGCTATGGAATCTAATTGTCATACAAAATTACAGTATGTTTCTGCTCTAAGGATTTTTCACTGGAATTACTTTTCCAGGCTGCACTCAGATCTACAGTATGACATTATTAGCCTCAGGGCATGATGCCTTCCTTACTCAGTAGATCTAGTTTTATTAACTAATAGGGCCTCTCTAGATGCTAAGTGAGAATCATTAACCAATGTATCTAATTGGTCTAATGACAGCATTCTTGAAATAAAAGACAGAACAAACCTATGAAGCCATTGTGCTCCTGACTCCCCACAGTGCGGGACTAGTACCTGCATCACACTTTTTGGAAATTCGTTTTTAAAGTAATGAAAAGCAAAGAAAATGACACTTCTGCTAATCTTCCACAACTCTCTTGTCATCTTAACTCTTTCTTAGTTTGATTTATTCTTTTTGCACACATACTGGGGAAAAGAGAGGATCCCTACAGCCTAAATATGGGTCTTGAAAAAGCCAGAACTAACTTTAGTGCTTTTTTTCTGGCCAGTGAAGTGTGGAAATAATCAAACTGTTATGCACCAGTGATAAAAATGCTCATTATTAAATGATGTTCTACCACAACTTCTACTTTGTCTATTTAAAGTACAGTACTTCTTAAACTACTATTTATGCCTGTGGAGACAGGGCACAGTAAAAAAGGCTATTAGTGAAACAAAGGGGAGGAAGACGTGATAGAATTACTGTACTGTAATATCACTTCCGTGATGAATCCTGCCTCCGTTGTTTCTGTCAGAGCTTTGCCTTTGATTTAAATTTGAGCTGGACCTGTATTTCCCTAAATGTCTCTGTGTTTCGCACTCGCATTCACGCTCTCTCTTCAGAAGTTAAAGTCCTCTGCTTTATGCTCTTGAGCACATCTGAAAAATGCCAGTGTGGGTTTTGAGCACTTGACCATCAGAAACAAATGGATATAATCTTTCTCCCTTTTATGAAGTGCCAGAAGGCATCCAGTGAATATCATTCATACAGCCCAAGAGACCATAACTTTAGAGCATCTCCCTGGATCGGTCAACATGGAATGAAATGACAACTAACCTTGCCTTGCAGCCTTGATGTTAACAGGCTGAAATCCCCCGTTCAGCGCTGAGGAGTCGATAATATCTGACTCAAAGTCACGGTGGTTCTTGCGATACACAAACAGGGCCACAACCACGGAAATAGCCAGGCACATGATCACGGCTATGACGATCCCAGCGTAGAGAGCAACATCATCTGAGTCAGGAGCAGCTAGAGGGAGAGAGGCCAGGAACCTTCAAGAAAAGTGCTCCTCATAGAGACTTTCAAGAAAACACATTCTTATTATTCTCCTTTCCTGCAGATATTTACTACCTTTTTTATTGGTTAATTTAAAATCCATTTCCAAAGCTATATAGCAGGTCTATACCCTTTTGATGGAAAATGATCTTTGATTTCTCTCCAACCTGTGTTCTCTTTCCTATCTACTCCTTCATCTATCTAGTACCCAGGCTGTGAACTACTAAGTATAAGATGTTATAGACTTGGTCTCATGAAGCAAATTCACGCTATGAAATAAAATAGTATGTCTTAGTGGCATAGTGTAATAAAATTGGTATTTAGTGGTTCATCTGATAACAAAAAAATGTGCATTTTTAAACTTCAGAAGTCTTATTTTTTTATTAAGAAAAAAGTCAACACCCCGAAGAAAGTCCATTTCCTGTGGAATAACTGGAATATCAGTTTGTATCTTTGAGTTTGCTTTTTTTGAACTATGATGTGTCCAGCCATTTTTACCTTCCATCTATTTCTCCTAAAAAAAATAATTTAGTAAAGCAGAGACTCAAGCACTGAATTCTCATCCCTAGCATTAACACATCCATATTTGGACAAAAGCTGAAGCAAGCACAATAAATAATGTGGTAATTTACAAAAGGGAACCCAGATTTATTAGAACTGTCTTCTGAGAAAATGGCTATGATATTTCTACTAGCTGCTTATACCGTATCTCCGGCACTAATTCCAGGCTAATCTCTAGCATCATTATCCACTAGACAATTTTTCCAAAAGGTCTGAATATATGACCAAAATTTGGTGTGTTTCTCTATGGTGAAGAATCCCAGTTTTAGATATAGCGTAATGAAAAAATGAAAGTGCAAAACCAAATCAGACTGTTTCAGTAACCCATTTTTGTTAGTTTGAAACATGTGAACTCATTTTTATTTTACTTTTTTGCTTCCTGCCTTCTAGCCATTTAAGCCAGGCTGCCCTCCAGCACAGCGGTGGGAGCTGGCAGATGTTGAAAGGGACTGATCAATCCCTGTAAGCTCCTATCTATCAGACCTTCAATGTACTGGCCTCAAAACCCCACATTTTTTCCCTCAGCAGTTCAAGAGGCAGATCTCTGTCTCCAGCTCAAAGAAGAGTTACCCCTGCACCACATTTCTCCTGTTTGCTACAGAAATTTTAATGAGAAGAGGGGTCATTCCCTCCAGTTCCTGTCTCTGAGGCAGCATCTTCTCCCATTTCCCTTGTGCATAAGGGCTGTTTTAGTCCTGTATCAACCTACTGACAGCAAAACACTGTGACTGCTGTCAAGCAAGCAGCATGCCACTTACTCTGCCGAATAGGTGCCTCTTTGCCTGGTTACACAGAGCTGGCATAACAGTAAAGTCTGACCCAAGGAACAGCATGACATTAGCATCCAGGAACGTAAAATCAGACATTAAACTTACAAGAAAATCCATATTCATTCTGGGTTCTCTGTTCAGTTGAAATAGGATAAATGAAACCTTAAAAAGAAAGAAATTAAACAAAAATGGGAACAAAATCAAATTAATGAGGAGAACAAAAAAGGGAAGCATGACAAATGGTTTAATTAAAACAAAGAAGGAAAAGAAACTGATGGTACTTTAAAATTCTGATACAGCACAGAATTATGATTTTGCATCCCCTGTCTCCTCCAGAGCCTTACTAAGAATTAATAAGCAGGCAGATTGAATTTCTAAGCCAAAATCGGTCTCGAGTCACTAACTTTGGAGTGCTTAAAGTCTTTCTTTTATTGAGCATAAACTCTAATGGATCTAATTTATTTCAGACATCAAGGGTCATTAGCATATGGAAAGTCTTTTTTCCCTATCCCTGCCATATGCTTTAATTCCCAGGACATGTTCGGTGAGGCTCTAAACAGTTTTTTTATTTAATTATAGTAGCTTGCTGTTGATCTAATAGAGCTAAAGGAGACCTGTCATCACTGGTCAGAGGTTAAATACCCATTCGCTGAGCAGAGCCCATGCACAAAGCTCTCTTTCTGTATTTCCCTGGAATTATTTTATCCTGTCTTTAATATATGTTCAACAGGAATTCCTCAGGGAGCAAAGAATTTGTCAGCGAACGGGAAACTGAGTGGCTTTTCTCTGAAATTATTACAAAATCAATAAGGCCCCTGGGGCCATAACATTATTTATTTGAAATCTTTGCAGGCACCGTATATCGACAAAATCATAACACAATTTACAGCTGTATTTCAGAACGGATAAGTAAGAGAGATCGTTTCCTTTGTCTTTTCTTTCTGCATCACGGCACGCTGATGCTGCTTAGTTTGCACACAAGTCCTATGAACTCGCTAAGCACCTCCCAGCTGCTGTCCCTCCATATGGGAAATGAGTGAAATGCTCCAAGTTCCATCCTGCTGGAAAGGTAAGTGACCAATCCTAAGTATGTGGGGGAGTCGCTGTCAGGGGCAGAATTACAGCTGGTCTAAGACAGAAGGTACCTCTCCTCCATCACCTTCCCTTCAGTGCTTTTGAAGGCAGTATTACCCACTCTCCTTGGATCGCACTGAGAGGACTCACACAGCCGGGGACTCCTTGCAGGTGAAGCGAAACTGCAGAATGCACTCCTGGCGCGTGCCTAATGCACTGCACCACGTTACAGGCAGACTGCAGTAATCATCTCCAGCTCCCAGAAATACTCGGTTTGGATGCCCGGCATCTGTTGCGCTTTACACAGCTCTTCTTGCTTGGCTGCCCTGTTTCCTAATGAAGATGCAGGCTATCCCAATTGCAGGTATAGACAGACCTCCCCTTCGAGTTTTCCAGACATTAACTATTGCGTAAGTGCTACTTTAACTGAAATATGAGATGTATTGGGTCTGTGTGGCAAGGTTTTGGTAGCAGGAGGGCTACAGTGGTGGCTTCTGTGAGAAGCTTCTGGAAGCCTTGCCCATGTCCAGTAGAGCCAATGCCAGCTGGCTCCAAGACAGACACACAGCTGGCCAAGGCTGAGCCCATCAGCAACAATAGTAGCACCTCTGGGATAACATGCTTAAGAAGTGAAGAACCACACCACACCCCCCAACAGCAACTGCAGCCACAGAGAAGAGTGAGAACATGAGAGCGCAACAGCTCTGCAGACCGCCAGGTCAGTGGAGAAGGAGGGGGAGGAGGAGCTCCAGGCGTCAGAGCAGAGATTCTCTAGCAGCCCATGGTGAGGCCGGCTGTGCCCTGCAGCCATGGAGGGTCACAGGGGAGCGCAATTCGTGAAGAACTACAACGCGTGGGAAGGACTCACGTTGGAGAAGTTGGTGGAGGACTGTCTCCCGTGGGAGGGACTCCACGCTAGAGCAGAGGCAGAGTGTGAAGAGTCCTCCCCTGAGGAGGAAGGAGCGGCAGAGACAACATGTGAAGGACTGACCACGACCCCCATTCTCCATCCCCCTGTGCCACTCAGAGGGAGGAGGTAGAGAAATTGGGAGCAAAGGTGAGCCCAGGGAGAAGGGAGGGTGTGTGGGGGAGGTGTTTTTAAGATCTGGTTTAGTTCTCATTACCCTTCTCTGATTTGATTGGTAATAAATTAAATTAATTTTTGCCAAGTGGAGTCTGTTCTGCCCATGACGGTAATTACTGAATGATCTCTGCCTGTCCTTATCTCAACCCACGAGCCTTTCGTTACATTTTCTATCCCCTGTCCAGAAAGTGATAGAACAGCTTTGGTGGGCACCACAGCAAGAAGAGCTGCTTTTTGATGATTATTTTTCTGAGGCATCATGGGACAAACTATATTGCCTGTAATATCTATTTAAAACTTCGTTTTACAGCCATGATTCCAGCCTTATAATTGCTTTTAGAAATATTATGTTCTTACATTCATTTGTTTGGTTCTTTAAGGCAAGTTCACCTATGTGTACTTTCAACACACATACTCAATCTTTTGTAATAACTGCTTTCTAATCCTACTAGTGTACTCCAGGTATTGGCCATAAAAAGTCAGGCAAGCAACTTCTGAGGGCTTGAGTGAGTGCTCAGCAAGTCTGGGCATGAATTTACAGTACCCTAGTTACTCCCCACTTACTCCCCAGATGAATGCTGAGGCTCATGTTTAGTCAACCTCAATTTCAGCTATAGCCTTATGCCCAATATTTCCTTTGGCAAGATGTCTCTGGAGACCTAGAGGCAGCCAGCAGGAAATACAAGGCACAAGGACAAGGTAGAATTTAAGCTGGCTGCATCTCTGAATACCTTTTTGTCTCATACTCAAATCCACTGGGAAAGCTGAGGATGTGCCTCTGAACTTCATGTGCCCCAGCGTGTTCCAGGGAAGCTGGCATGGGGTAGCACGCGTCTCTCAGCTCTGCATCACCCACCAAGCTTGAGCTTACCTGTGTGGAGCCAGAAAGGCTATTCCCCTCTCTTTACATTGCATTTCAGATGGCAAATTTTGCATTCAAGGTTGTGCGTCATTCCTGCCACGTCTGAAGTGATCTAACAACCGTCACTCAACAGGCACAAGGATTGGATTAGCTGTGATATTGTTGAAAGCATTCTCTCCTCCCAGGAAAATGGAAATGCAAATTCAAGTATTTTCAGCAAAGTAAACAAGTGTGGTCCTTAAATACTCTACAAGAAATTTACCTCACTGCAACCTCTTCGTAGACCCTGTTTGTCACAAATACTTATTTACGTCTTAAAAGTTTGCATAGATTCTCTTACTGATAACTAGAGAGCATCCTTGCAGCTACATGAGAGTGACACCAATTTCATCAACAGAAGTGTTCTGTGCATGTATTCAAAGGCACACCTATTAAATCGGGAGAAGAGGCGAGGATACTGCTTGCTGCTTCCATTAGCCTCACATCCAACATGCTTAGTAAAGTGAGCTTGATTTTATTCTCCTGTGTGTTCTGTGGACTGAACCAAGCACCGAGCTCCAGCCAGCTCTTTCCATGCAAACAAAGCCTGGCTTGCAAAAGTGCCTGCGAGGACAAGTTTTCAGCCTGAAAAACGTGGTTTTCACACAGCAGGAAGATATGGCAGAGGTGGAAGGGTTACGGGCTGCCGAGTGAGATGCCATGCGCTCGAGTCATGGGCATGGTAATACTCTGCTGAGGACCAAGAGTCACAGCTGACCAACCTGGCTGCAGACGGATAGGTGGCCACTTGTGCTGGACGTAAAGTCTTGCTGAGGTGATGGCAGCACACAAGCTATGCTGTGGTGGTCATGCAACCCTGTTTGTTCACAGTATGTGGGCAGGCTTCCCTGGCTGAAGCTAGCAGAGACCTTAGCTTGGGTTGATTTTCACCATCCCAGCCAAGCTGGCAATCCCTGCTGCCTGCTGGTCGAATGCCAGTTCCATTTGCACTTGCAAATGAAGCATATTTGTTGGAGATCACTCAAACATGGCAACTACAGATGCCTTCTGCCATGTGGGCAGGACTTTTTAGAATAAAACTACTTTTAAACACTCCTTTGTCATGAAAGCACTCTTCCAAATGGGAGCGGGCATCACCATGGCAGCAGGGGAAAGGCTTGCAGCCATTAGCTGGTGGTGGTGGCTGGGCAGGAGGCAGGGTTATTGCCGTGATCCCACCACAAGATCACACGTATTGCTTTAGAAAGTTGGCTTTCACACTGGTCCCTCTGACTACACCTTCAAACAACGAGAAAGGACAATTTCAACAGATAATGATGCAAACCTGCTGGGATTAGTAACTGAAATAATGAAGAATGACTTCCCTCCTCTCTTCAAAGTAACTGCAGTGAAAAAAGATCTTTTTCTTGTGCTTTTCTTTTTTTTTTTTCTCCCTCCTTCTATCAACAGCGCTGCTTGGCAAGTACCTGAGAGACTTGTACCAGGATCATCAAAATTTTTAACGAGGGTGAATTTAGAAAGGTGCTGGGGGGTTTGACTCTGGGAAGGCTGCTGACTCACACTCGGAGCAGCTGGTTTCACAGTGAGCTACTTGCTTTGAGAAAAGTAATTCAAGCTTCTTCCTACAGCTTGTTGGGAAATGTACATTTTCAAAGGGACTTTTGATGTTTTGTTGTGTAGCTTACTGCTGGATGAGTAAAATAGTAATAATCACACTTTACACTGGCACAGGCCCTTCCATTTGAGGCTCTCAGGCTTACCAAAAATGAATATTTATTTCCCTCATTTTACAAGCACCTCGCCCTATGCCATACCTGGAGAATCAGTGTGAGGCTTGGGTTAACACACAGAAATTGCCCCACTGTAATTGCACAGTAAATTCATTCATTAAAAAGCCTTTAATTAAGTTGATGTTTCTCCATGCATTCTACTTTAGATTCCACTTTGGGCCTGTAAATACATTTTTTGTCCCTGTGGAAGTGCTTCTATTAAGTGTTAAAGGTGGGCTTTTTTTAAACTAACGTAATTACACCGGCACATAGTCTTTGTGCAAATGCAGATCTGTCATTATAAAGGTTCATTACATAGGCACTGCCTATTCTCTTTCTAGAAAGCATGTGAAGAGCAATTTAAGCACGTTTA